TTACATCCAGCACCACGACGACTATACATCGGAATGAATCAACCCGCAGGCTGTGGCGTCGTTGAATTTTACAACAGTTTAGGGCCCTCAACCGACGAAAGCGCCCTGCTGGCATGTGCCACAAGCCTACCCTTGCGATGCACATCTAGGAGCTCACCTTTTTTTCACTCTGTTAGTCGCCGTCATATCTACTATGTTTGTTCAATCTTTTAGCAAATTCTCAATGCTGACTAACCTCGTAACGCCTTCTTTAGCTCCATTTGTGATCTTTCCGTTTCCACTGCGTAGCTTGAGCGGGCTCCACACCTTCCGAGATGTCACGATGAGTTACTACACCTCTGGAGGCTTGAAGGCCTGGTCACCTAGGAGATCGAGACGGCAACCACTTTGTCCATTGATCTTCCCTAAAGAATTAGACTCTAATCCTGGTCTCGACTTCTGCATTCTTCGCGCCGAATCTCGTTGCACCCCGTTCCTATCAACCTCTTCCATATCGGCCATCACACACTGTGGTAATCCCTGGACCCTTTCATCCCTTGCCGTCGGTCCTTGTTTCTCCGATTTTTCTCGTTATTGTCAACCACAACATGTCTATCCACCATGCGTTTTATACCGGGTATTCGAAGACGTGTACTACTTAGGACTATAGCCGCAAGTCCCCATTTTCTAAAAGCGCTACTTCTCCAAATTGGTTGACGACAGTTCGAAGAGAAGGTAATCCATACTCATGGCTGCAATGACAACGAAGGTGAGCGCACGAATGTCTGTTGTCTTCTCCATCTAGAGCACATAAATACATGATTTGTGAACGAAGAGCTACGACACTTCCTTTCAGCGCACCATGCTATCGAACTTTGCTTCCTCTTGGCTAATCTCCTTCGTTACTCTCGCCTCTTTGACGCCTTCCGTGATGGCAGCTACATACGGCGTCAGCGATACCTTTATAGGACGAGGCTTCTTAGATGGATTCGTTCACGAGGCTATCACCGACCCAACTCATGGAAGAGTCAAGTTAGTCTTCATTTTGGTTGATAAACACCTCACTACTAATCTCAAGCATGATTGCCATTAGCTATGTGAATCAGGCAACTGCGCTTGCACAGAACCTCACTTATGCCTCCAACAACGCATTCGTCATTCG